ATATATAACAATTTTGTGGGATCTACTAGTTAATTCATATTGACCATTTTAACAGTTACTAAAACCTTTTCATGTTCCGAGAAAATATTCAGTACTGTCAGCTGCTAGCCACCCATTAGCTAGTGCTCAGGGTAAAAGGTTGGTTTCCTTCTAAATGAAGATGTGATGCTGTGGCTAAACAAGAGTCAGAAAACACATCTCTCAAGTTTTGTGCAGTCAATTATATTTAAATGAATCTTGTGCAATTCTATGTTGTTACCACCAACAAGCTTTGATGGGGTAGTGATTGTGTGATAGGCACTGCTCAGTCACTGAGGGCTGTAAAGGTGAAAACAAGGCCCTTTATATGAAGTTTAAGATCTAGCTGGAAAGACAGGATATATTTATCAAGACGTAAAACAAACAGCAACATATAGTCAGTATAAAATCAGATCATTGAAGCATACAATTATATTCTAACAATTCAAAGGAACAAAAAGTGAAAAGATGGATGTTTAGTGGTCAAGGAAGTAGAAATGCTTTCAGGCACATTGGGAAATGAGCTGGCTAGTTTGGCTGAATCAGAGTGTCATGAACCTCATCAGGCATGATACTCCAATTTCATGGAATATGCACTATTAATTAATATGAATTTAGTCACTGAAAAATTCCATAGTTCATGATGCATGGCATTTTCTCGCATGTCAATGAGATTAGCCTTTATAACAAAGGGATTCCCTGACATTTTATATTTTAACTTTAACTTCTTTTCCTTTGAAACTATGAGGGTGAGTCAAAAATTATCTACACCGTAGAATTCATTTTAATCAATTTTTTTTTCTTTTTTTACTCATTAAAAGAGCATGTTTATTTTATTTTATTATTTCAAAGTGTGCAGTACAATGGCATTTACTACATTCAGAGTTTTGCATCTATGATCACAATCAATTTCAGAACATTTTCATTCCCCTCAAAAGAAATCCTATACCACGTAGCCATCACCCTACCTCAATCCTTTATCCTCCTCCCACAAGTCCTATCTAGTTGTGGCCGATTGATTTTGTTTCACTGGGGCACCATGTGCTAAAAGATTTGCAGTGTAGAGTTGAGTTCCATAGGATTTTATTTGACTTGTTTTACTTTTTATTGTGAATTGGGTGAAGGTTTACAAAGCAGATCATTGCTTTTACATTCAACAATTCACACACATTTTATTTCATCTCCTTGATTGCAATCTCCTCAGCTTAATTTGGAACCCTGATGTGAACCAGCAGCATATACACTCAACCACAAGATCAGCTGAGTTGCAAGACCAGAGGTTCTAACCTACCAGCCGCTCCTCAGAAACCCTATACAGGTTCACTATGGTCGGAACTGACTCTACAGCACTCAACAACAACAACGTAACTTATTTCTTGCTTACATTCCTCCTTCTTTCTTAACCCTTCTGTGTAGTCCTTTTGATTTCAGATGGTTTATTATTCTAAAGTGTGCACACTTCACTAGTTTTATCGTATCCTTTATAGACCTGTCCATTTTTGGTTGAATTAATTGACTTTTTAAAAAGACAAACACATCATTTTTTTTGACATAATCTCCTTGATTTTCAATACACTTTGTCTATCTGTCAAAAAGCTTTCATATTCCCTTATTAAAATGTTTTAGGGTGAGCTGTGAGCCATGAATGCACCGCTGTCTTCACTTCAGCAGAGGTGAATATCCCTCCTCAAAGGACTGCTTTGAGGGGACCAAACAGGTGAAAGCCAATGAAGCAAGATCAGAACATTAGGAAGAATGCATTAACACCTCAAAACAAAGTTTTTGCAGAGTGTCAACAGTGTGAGCAGAGATGTGTGGTTGTGCATTGTCATGCAAGATCACAAGCAGTTCCAAAGTATAGGCTTCTGCTCTTCACTAAGCATCTCACTGTAATGAGCACTGTTGATTGTTGTAACTCTTTCTTTACAGTGTTCCAATACTGGACTTTGAGAATACCAG